TCAATACTAACTAAGCCAAGTATAACCTAGCTAGGGTTGTAGTAAAGTGGCTCGGTCGTATTCTAATGGATCCCTAAGCTTAATATTACTTCGCTCCGAACTACTATCTAATCGAATCGAAAGTTGGGTAAAAATCTAATTTGATATACTCCTAAAGGCAAAGTTAACTTTCAACCAAGTGATTGGGAATAAGCCGACTTCACCTGTAATACTGAGTCCGCTTCAGGACAAAAGTGCTCTAAAAACGAGTAAACTCGACGAGAAATCGAGCTTATTGGTTGGGACGTTTGAAGACGATTTGATTCAATCTGTTGTTGCAGAATTATTCAGGGTGATCACAGGAAGCTCTCGGATTCATCAAATCAACCCAGAGACCCCCCTATAAAATGCCCAATTCTCGATTGGACTTTCTGGGTTCGGAGCATTTGAACTTCGACAATGGCGGGAAACAAGGAAGTGATGATTCGACGTCGGAAATGATGAGTCGAAGGCTGAGGCTGGTCAAGAACTTCAATTTGAAGCAAGACGACGCCATTGGTGGCCCTGAATTGCGTGTGGATGCCTGAATAAAAAAGCCCTAGTTTTGTTGGTGAAGAACAATGTCCTTGTTTTCTAAAAATGGGAGTTTGAGCTGCCTTACTTCGACCCATTTTGGACAAGATTTTGTGTCGATTTCGAGGAAAGGAAGGGCAAAGCTTTGAGGGTAAAGTTTTTTATGAGGGGGGCCTGATATGATACAATAAGGTTCAATCCTTGATTCACAATTGATTGGCAAAGAATCTAGCTCAACCTATGTGTATAACCTTGATATTTGGCTAAGTCCTTTTTCTATTTCAGGTTGCCATCTTTGCACGTCTGGAACTTTTTATTGGTGTGATGGAAATTCGAGTTTCAAGGCATGTATTGAAGCTGGAGTTCCCCTCTACACGTGGAAGTTCTTGGAAGCTTGAAAGGAAGCCAGGAGATGAGTTTTTAAAGCCTTCCAAAACCATATGCTAAAACCAGGAAACTGCCAGAATTTGGCTAAGGCAGGAGGAGTGTTCAGGAAGGGTACTTTGGAGCTCAATTCGAAGAGTTTGAGCAAGAATCGAGCTTCAAGGTTCTTACCACATGAAAGTATACATCTTCTACTACAACAACATGGCATTGTGTGACTGGAATGAAGATAGGAAGGGCTCAAATAAAAGCTCCAAATATCATATCGATGATGGGTTTTTGTCTTTGGAAAACAAGCATTCTGAATCCTTATCGGATTAGGATTCCTTTGCTATGTTATGTTTAATTCCTTTTCATTGTTGGTTTCAATTTCCTTTTCCAATTCTAATGTGTTTAGAACTTCTCTAAGAGTTGTAGGATTGGCTAGGTCTATTTAAGTCGCTTTGATTCATTGTAATTTTCAGTTTTCGTTCAATTCAATAACAAACCAAGAGTTTCAGTTCATAAGGTTCTGTCTTGCGAATTGAGGGATCAACCTAGCCAATTCTAGGTCTGATCTTGAGCTTGTATCGTTCAGGTGGACACCCTGTTTGTGGCCAGGCATCAACGACACCAATCGAGCCTCTTTCCATCGTGAAAGTTGCAATAAAGGTTCCATCCCAAACACGAGCACAAGTGTGCAAAGTGGAAAAAATGTCGAATTAGGTTATCAGAACACTCCTCATCATCCCTAGGATCCAATCTTATACACCCCCACACTTGATGGTTACTATGTAAAACAAGGGTGCAAAGTGGAAAAAATGTCGAATGAGGTTGTTTATGTGCATAATCAGAAGAATAGCATTGATTGCATCCCTATTTCGTTCCTATTTTATTATGTCATGATTTTAGAGTGCTTTAGATGATACATGTGAATTAGGTACAAAAAAGGGAACAAGAACGGGCAGGAAGCTGATGATCACAACCTGGAAGATAAAGATCCCGACTTAGACAGCAGACTGTGAAGCAAAAACAAAGATCGCTGCATGAGGACCATAGTTCACAATCCCGAAAATGGAGCCCTTGGGCGTGCACTTCGTTAGGAATCCATCCAAGAGGAAACAGAAAGTTTTAACGGCCGATCACGGTTACCGTCTACCCTGACCACGAGGAAGTTCGTGTGCAAGGGAACTAAGCACCCTAAATGACTAAGGTAGGTGGATGGACCGATTGCTCAAAAATCATATCAAAGTGAAAAGCTTTGTTGAGAAAAGGGGCCATACACCTTATACTAATCGATCAATATTCAAAACTACCCCTCAAACATGCTTCTAGGGTTTAACAAAAGCATTAAAGTTCATTTGGCATGCATCAAACCATTACAAGCACAAATAATGTGGTTTGGGCATTTCATCAAGCACTTGGTGGGCGACTATCAAAACGATTATAACCATGCAATTCATACCCACCAAGGCCTCCAAACCACATACATTCAATCATAAGCATGCAACCCACAACAACACATCATCTTTTCATCATTTGACCTTCATCTTAGTCCATTAGAACTCATTCTTAACTAAGGCATGGTCGTTTACTATTACTTACACTACAAACTAACCTAAAAAAAATTCAAACATGCAAGTACTTTTTTAAAAGATAAGGAAAAGAAAATGCAAACGGATGTTGGGGTGCCTCCCAACTAGCGTGTCTTTTAGGTCATTTCACCAGACCGTTGTCTTCAAGTACTCAGTCTAGCTCAAGACCTCCTTGAAGTTGTGGTTCTCGTCGGTGAGGTCATGTCTCAAGTCTCGAGCTTTGGATGCTTCAAATGAGGCAAATGACATGTTGACTTGGTAAGAATTGTATCTCCACCCACGAGACCTCTTCTTCTTTCTTCTCTTTACCCCATAATATGTAATGAAAACTTGAATTACCATCCTTGAATCCTCCAAGAGGGATCGTTGATGGTGTGATCTTGGCTAGGCAAAGAGAAAGCGCAAAGGGATCCTTTTCTAAGAGTGTATCAAGGTTGGGTGGAAACATTTGGTAGCACAAATAACTTGTAGAATCTTCGTCCACTTCAACCTTGTCCATTGTTCTGAATCCAATTGCGTCTTCAACCTCCTCTCCTTCTTGTGAAGAATCTTCCCCGTGTTGAGTACCAAGCTTCTCCTCTTCTTTGCATTCTTTTTCCTTCACATTCAAACTCTCTTCGGTGTTAACTTCTCGTTGTTGATCGGGAGCAATGTTGTTTCCCCAATCCAGTTCTTCATGAGTTGATCTTCAGTGTATGCTTGCTCGACCACTGTGGATAATTCTTCTTCTTCCACCTCTTCTTCGTTCTTAGCACTTGCATCCAAGAGGTGATCTTTATCGGATCTCAACCAAGTTGTTTAAGATCCCTCATATTTGCTTTCAACGTCTTAGATAACTATTCTTGTTATATGAGGACGGGTTGAAGAGGAAACATAGGATCCTCTCGTATTGAAGTTGACCCTTCATTCTCAGCCTTTTTGTGTGTAGGTGGCGATGAAGGATGAAATGCATATTCATCCTTGGAGGTCGTGTCTTCTTCCTCCTTGTTGGCCTCACCCTAGTCCCATTTGTCCAAATATTCTCGGACAAGGGGATTGACTCTAGCAAGACCCTTGAAGTATTTAGCAAGTTGGGTTTCTTGCTCCTCTATTGTCTTGTTTATGTCTTCTTTATCCGAGTATTTCACCTTAGATGATAGAGTGGGATGAAGCATCTCTTCATTGTTGGAGTGTGAACTTCCTTCATTTTCCCTTTGGTAGCTAGAGTTCAGGTGTAGGAGTTGAATTGATGAATGAATCCACAACGGGCAAAAACCTCTCACATTTCATCGCGAATACTTCGATTTCGAGCTCCAATAAGCTCTTTGGCTCCGGGGTTGGGGTAGAGTGAGTTGTATCAAGGCTTTCTAGATATGGCGTACTCGCCTTATTCGCTCTGTCCATCTACACTTGGTCTTCACCATAAGTTATGGAGGTGTTTCTTGATATGATGGTGGAGATGCTTGGTAATTATGGGGTTACCATTGATAGGCATGGAGAGGTGGTTGTTCTTCGTACATGTATCCTTGGCTAGCACCACTACTAGAAGCTCCAAGATAACACCAATTCGGCCTTTGGCAATCTCCCCACTTCTCGTACCAACCGTATGGATCCATAGCTACACCTATACACTATTTGTATACAAAAAAACAAAACAACCTATGAAAGCACAAGTGTAAAAAGAAAAGAAAACAAAAAGTGAGCAAACACTTAACACAAGATAACTAAAGATAACATAACAAAAGAAAGAAGAATGCGAGAAAGAAAATACGACATCAAAAGAACAAAACACAAGAAAACGACACCAAAAAGTTGATGCTACACAAACACAAAACACAACTCACAACAAAAACAACACCAAACTTGGCACACAACAAATAATTAAACTAGTATTTCTCGACTTTTCTTAATAACTTAAGACTCCCTGGCAACGACGCCATAAACTTGATCACTTCTGCGTGATCGAGCTTTAAATTCGTAAGACGATGCACACTCTCTATTCAATCCTAACTAAGACAAGTATAACATAGCAGATCCAAAATGGCAAGTTCGAAAGAGGAGCTGCATTGACCATCGGATTGCCATCTTCATTTTGTCGATCGAGAGATGGTTGTTCTAGGGTTTGAATTGAGAAGCGGCAGAGGAGGAGGTTGGATTTTGTGTATGGTTTTGCTTCCGCCACGTGGAGGTTATCGCATGAGAGGCGGCCGAGGTAGAGGAAAGAGGCTTCAGTGGTGTTTGGAGTTTTGGTTGGGTAGGTTTGGCAAATCGGTTATCGATTGGCGGTTAATCTTTGGTTCAAATCGATAATCGGCGGTTATCGGATAACCAATAACCGATGTGCTTGATAGCTCAGTCGGTGATCAGATGGTTGACGAGTGGGTTTTGCTAGTCTAGTAACCAACGTTGAAAACCATGGGTTACCCGGCTAACCAAACCCTCTCGCCAACACCCCAAAACGAACTCACACCACCATCATGGCGAACCCTAACTCTTCCATCTCTTGTCTTCTCAATCACTCTCCAATCTCCTCCGCCTCCTAATCCACCACCTGTAGTTTCTTACCATATAGCAGACTAGAAACCCAACCGATTCTCCATCTTCGCAATAGCTTTCCCCACTGCCCAACATCGCCGCCCACGCGTCCAGCCTCTGCCGTCTGCTCGCCGACCTCGCCTTCAGCCCTAGACCCCAGCTCGACATTGCGCAATCTCCCCTCCTGCGACCATGCCACTCCCCTACGAGCGCCGCCTCCTCTGCGACTTCGCTAGTCCCCCGCGACGTCACCGCCACTTTGCGACCTCGTTGCCCTGCGACCTCGCTGCCTCCCCGCGACCACGCCGCTCCTCTACGCTTTCCCATTGCCTTCCTTCCTCTTCCCCGATCGAACAGAGACAAAAGAACCAATCGCCTTCCTTGCTCGTCCCGTCGCCTTCTTTCTTCGCAGTCCCTTCGTTGTCCCGTCTCCTTCCTTCCTCTTCTGCATCAGGTCGAGGGGTCGAGTAGCTGCAAGGCTCTGACACCGGCAGACTAAGCGAAGATAGGGTAGACTGGCAGAGATAGATCTCGCTCCGCCTCCGTCGCCACTCGCCGCAACCACAGCCATCGCCGACAACACCAACATTTTTCGGTTTCGCGACTAACCCCACCAAAACTAAAAACCGCTCGGTTGGTTGGCCGAATAATCGAACGTCTCCTTCGGTCGGCTGTAGTAGGGAATTTGGCCGTGTTTCGGCTAACGTATAACTGATGTTTTGGTTTTCAGTTAGACCGAAACCGACCAATTTCCACCCTTATGGTTGGGTAGCTAGCACGTGGGAGCCGCCGAAATCCCGACCTGATTCCATTAAGTGATGACAGAGGGGGGTGGTTTGCTATCTGCGGGTATTCCTCGATGGGGAATATAATGAGACTAAAAAGCTAAATTTAATTCATTAATTAATTCTTTGTTTGCTGAAATTTGTTCAATAATTAACACTCGCTAAAGGGGTAATATAGTAATTTTCAAAACATATAATGGTAAACTAACAGAAATAGGGATGGAAGTTTATATTTGTTATGTTACAATAATAGAGAGGTATGTTTGTGCAAAATAATAATAGAGGGGTACATTTGTTAAGTTGCGATAATAGAGCGACAACAAATACTATTAACAAAAAAAAAGAGTTTATCCTGGATTAGTTATTAGTTAAGGTGAGGGGAATGGCGATATGATGGTTGGATAAAAAAATGAATTTCATACTTTTTTCCTCTAATATTTATATTTTTTAAGTAATCCACATTTGTATTTTAAACAATGCAATCCTTATAATTATTAGTGCTTTTTTTATTTTTTAAATATTAATAATTTTCTAACTAGTGTCATTTGTCAATCATGACTCTATAAGTTAAAGACCACTCTATCACTAGATCATATCGAGAATTCGTTTATAATTTACTAGCGAGGTAATCATGATCAGTCCTATAAAGAAAAACGTTTTAAAATAATTTTCCTTTCTTTTTGTACCACTTATCTTCGAAATAAAAGAATGAAAATAATAAAATAGAATACATATATCATATAAAGAATCACTAGGGACTCGACTAGGCCTGTCGGTTCGGTTCGGGTCGGGTAACCGAACCCGAAAACCGTGAAAACCCGAAAACCCGAACCCGAGCCACACAACCTGAAACCGAAACCGAATTGTGCTTTGTGGGTTTTCGGTTTCATAAACCCGAAACCCGATAGAGAACCCTCCTCGGAGACTCCTACCTCCGGAACGGAGTCGTCGGCCTCACCCGCGACGTCACCATCCCGACCTCGAGCGCCGGCACCGTCATCTACAACGACCCAATTCCCTTCTCCGACCCGGAATCCGCTCCGCCGTCCGCCGCTTCATTCTCCACGAGATTCACCTTCTCTATCGGGAACGTCAACCCGAGCTCCTTCGGCGACGGCCTCGCCTTCTTCCTGTCCCGCGACAACAAGTCACAGTCTGTGAGGGAGAAAAAAAAAACTTGGTGGATGAAAGATTAGATTCAGATTCAGGAGGGCTATAAACATAAATAAATCTGGGGATTGAAAGCACTCCCTCTCCCGATTTGTTCCCCTCTCCTCCTGACCACTGCTATTACTGCGCTTTTTCCTCTGCGAGGGAAGGGAAAAGGGAGAAGGATCCCTGCTCAGACCCAGATCGACGAATTTTCCCCACAACGTCTCCGACAATTCGATCGTCATCCCCTCGCCGTAGATTCCGTCTTCCGATTCCGGCAGCAAGAACCACAAGAAGCTCGGATTGTGGCTAGGAATCGCCGGTCCTTCCTTCTTCTGCGCGTGCCTCGTGATTTTCGGGTACATATCCGTCAAGAAATGGCAGAGGATGAGAGGAAGTAGTACCACTACGGGGAAAACAGAGCTGGTGGTGGCTTCCGGGCGGCCGAAGGAATTCAACTACAGGGAGGTGAAATCGGCGACGAGAGGGTTCCATTCCAGCAGAATCATCGGGAAGGGCGCTTTCGGTTTTCGGGTTCCCTCTCGGGTTTCGGGTTTATGAAACCGAAACCGAAACCAAAATTCACGGGTTGAAACCGAAAAAACCGAACCCATAGACACTGCTGGCGGTTCGGGTTCGGGTTAAACCGAAAACCCGAAACCGTTTTGACAGGCCTAGACTCGACTCGACGCAGAGCTAAGAGTGTTGTTGTAATAGTGAAGCCATTTCAATGTTTTGGAATACAATAATAAGCGAAGCAGCTCGAAGAAATTTGTTGAAAAGAAAGAAAGTATGAAAGACAAAAGAATGGACAGAAAAAAAGGAAAAAGAAAAAGTAGTCAACAAGTGACAAAAGGGGTTAGCCAAACCGCAGTCTCGGATTGGGTTTTGTTAGCTTGCTTTTCCTCTTTTCATGTTATATATTTTTAATTTTCATTTTCGAGACTAGCTAGTTATATTTTGTAAATACTAGATAAATTTATGAGAGTATATGATTCAAAGTACGGCATATTAAATTATTACTTACTAGAGAAGGAAGCCTGCATCATGTTGCGGCGGCATAGATGAGTTTGTATCATTATTCTTGTGCCGTTTTAATTTGTGTCGGGCCTTTAGATGTGTAATTGAGTGATTTGATGAGTTGAAAACTTGAAATAATTGAGGACAAACCACATAAACATAGGGAGAAAAGGCATGCACTTATTTCTTATATTAGGATGCATCAATGTTCAAGAACTGATTAGCATGTCCGGAGAACATATAACACAACAAAATAAAGATAATAAAAATGTCCCATGAAGGGAGGATAAGATTTCAATTGGTGAAAGACTCGCCAAAGCGTTGTGAAGAGGAAGGCTCTCTGGTAGAATATTCTATCATCATTCTCAAATCGAGCAGTTACTTTGAAAGCATATAAGAAATGGCTTCAAAACATTAATTTCGTCGAATACAAATAGAGATGAGTGAGAGATGTGAACATACATACGGAAAAAATTTATAGAGTTTAGGACTATCAACTTTCTCAAATCGATGACCTCATAGGAGACCGCGTGAAACGAAAGCCTACATATATTTTTTCCTCGAATGGAGAGGAGGAAGTGCGTCAAGAGAAGATTGTTAGAAAAATAAAAATAAAAACATAGAAGAATTAGAAGACTACCATTATGAACACTCTTCGCTCATGTTGCATGGTGGTTCTTAAATCGATAGTGTTAAGAGAAACCATAAAATAGCATGCCAAATACAAATATTTTTTATGCTCGATTAGAGGATGAAATTGTGTGGGGCGAAGACTATCCATATGTCACAACGTATGTTAGATAATTCCGCTATAGAGATGAACGTTACAGATGAATTTCCATTGTCAATTAGAGAGATACATGGGGAAACAAATTTAATAGTAGACAAAAAAAAATGGCAAAAATAACTACATGATAAGAATCATCTCAATTTTTAACTCGAGAATAAGGTCAAGAAGTATATATAATAGTGTATTGTGATTGATTTTTTATCAAAAAAATAAAATGATACAGATAAAAAAAGCACAAAAAATAAAATATGACCAACCACAACTAAGCATGGCTCTAGGACCGGCTTTATGAGAAACCACAAAATAACATGTCAAATACAAATATGTTTTATGTTGGATTAGAGAATGAAATCTCGTGGTAAAAAGGCCACATATATAAGAACGGATGTTAGAAAATATCACTATAGAGATGAACGTTACATATCAATTTTCATTGCCAAATAGAGAAATACATTGAGAAAACAAATTTTATAGCCGATAAAAATGAGGAAAAATGACTATATGATAAGGATCATCTCAATTTATAACTCGAGAATCACATCATAAAAATATATACAATAATGCATTGTAGTTGTCGAAAAAATTTAATGGTTCAGATAAAATAAAGCACAAAAAGAATATGACCCACAACAACTAATCATAATTCTAGACTAATTTTTTGTCAAAAAATTGAACGGTTCACATAATAACAGCTAAAAAATAAATTCTGACCAACCACACATAACTAAAGCACTTCTACTATGCTATAAAGTATTGGTGCTTTAATATATAACTTTAAGTTCTACCATAACATTAAATGTATAAGTTTAGGTTGTACCATAAAGGAATTTGTACCCTTATATTATGGTACAATTTTATAACTTAAAGTTGTACCATCACATAAAGGTACAAGTTCAAGATGTACCATAAAAGAATTTCTACAAAGAGTATAGGTACAATTTGAAGTTGTACCATAACGTTAAAGGTACAATTTGAAGTTGTACCATAACGTTAAAGGTACAACTTTAAGTTGTACCATAAAGGCAAAAACCTATAGCACCAATACTATATAGCATTCTAAAATTCCTCCGCATAACTATGGCTCTTAGGCAACAGTAACATGCATTTATCTTTATATATATTAATACTATATGTAGAGATGTTAATCAAATCATTTGGTATGAAGTGAGTAGGAGTTAAATGCCTAGAGAGTTTGAAAGGTTTGAATCTAGTTTGATTTGCGACTCCTCCTCACATGTTTATACTCATTCTCAACCATTCAAGAGTAGTTCTTTAATTCTTTATATATATGAAAGTATAAGGTGTTAGAATTAAACTTTAGCCTATGTAATTCCCCGGAATACATCTTGTCAGATTATCAAAGGCGAATAGATCTAAATACCTGGATTCATGATGGTAGATCGTCGTGAGCTTGATGCGGAATCTGTAGAACGATCTTTAACCGAACGATACCTCAGAAGCACGATCCGGGAAGTTTAGTGGCCTTCCTCAACCAAGCCTCCTCAGTCCACTCACGGGAAACCTCACGTATTCATGATGGGGAGAATATGTGCGTATTTTCGGTCTTGGTGTCTTGGGGA